ACTGCAATTATTAAAGGGTGAAACATGTGAGTTTAATAGCTGTCTAGTTATGTTTAACTGTTTTGACATCTAAATTAAGTAGACTGCAATAAAAATTTCTGATATGTATCTGTACCCTGCTATTTAGAAATGGAAATACTGTATGGAAAAAAAAAGATTGGAATCATAAAAGTGGACTCTAAATTCTCAAGTTTTCTCTGATTTTCTCTTTAGCAGTTTTACAACTTAAGTAGGAGCACAGCATTTTGTCTTTATGCTTCTGTACTCTGTTGCCCACATAAAATGGACATGAATTAACTCAGCCACAGATAGAAATAGAGCAATTTCTAATTTCTAGGAATTTTCATTGTTTAAAATAAGAAAAGAGAAGAAAAAGAAATGAGGAAATTGAAAGTTTTGCTAGCAGCCTATACACTAGAGGAGACATCAGCTATGATCACATTCTTTAGAGGAAAAAGTAGTATTTGACCCTTCTACACATATCACTTCCTATGAGAGGGTTCAATTCAGACTTTCCTTATACCCCTCTACAATGAGTAAATTTAATAAAATAATTTTAAGCAATGGATGATTTCATTATCTATGAAAATTATACAAAATCGTGCCATGGGAATATAATTGTCATTTAATAATCATTAATCATTAAAACATGAACAAACATTTTTAGGCTAAAACAATGTTTTTTTTTTTCTTGTATGTAAAAACACATCTTATACTTCAGCTGCATAGAATCTGTTTCATATATCCTTATAAAGATATTTATTTTTGTTTTAAATATTTCAAGGAATGGAAGCTGAAGCACATTCTTATATTAAGTTCTTTGGATTTGCTGATGTTGGTTTTAAATATAGAAAAGTCACAAACTGTTTTAAACTAATCATTTTCGAATATTTTTAATATACATTCACTTGAGCTTTACTCTCATTTTACAAGTTATAATTGATTGTCATCATTTAACATTTACAAGGACTGAAAAGATAAACAATGCTTCAATGGAATACTTCCATATTCCTTGTACTATTTTATTTTTAGCATTATTTTCCAGTTATATGATTGTATCATATTTTTATTATACATTTATTTCTAATGTATTTCTCTAAGCACCAAAGATCAACTAAAATATTTTTTTCTTTGAGATGGTTTTCTCCAAATCCGTCGTATTAGCAATATAATTTTAAATACTTGAGCACATTTACATTTTCAGATTGATCTGATTGTAAATAAAGTATCTGTAATTTTGTAGTCTGGAAGAAAACACATGTGCCACTTACTTATACCTAACAAGATCTCTTTTGCATCAAATATGTATTTTTGTTTCTTATGTGATGTATCAGTTGCTATATTGCTTTCCTTTACTCATCTATCAGCCTTGACTATACAACTATATGAAACCAATACAGCTGGCAAAACTGGCCACCAGGGTTAAAAAAAGATAGACAAAATGAAATTTTACTATCTAGTGCTTACTTTCTAGCAAAGAAAGCAGGCATCATTGTAAAAATAGATCATGTTACCAATAATCATTTTTCTTCACTTAATCATTTAGGCTATGTAAATATTCCATATATGTAATAGATACTGTAAATTGTAATTATTCTACTCTCTAGGTTGGGTTTTGAAATAGTGACCTGCTAAATAAAAAATCAGTATCCTATTATCAGGTCTTCAAGTCATATTGTCCTCTTTTTGCTGAGTTTGTGCAGTTATTCTTTTTTTTAATTTTTTTTTTTGAAGGTGGTAATCAAATTTGTCTGCATGATATGAAGCCATATTGTACCATTTATTTTTAGATTGTATTTCCCATTGATTCCACTGAGGAATGCTGCTTAAAAATGGATGGTGCAATATGGCACTTAGAATTTCCCATTACAATTATTGGAATTAGATCTTTTGTACTTCTGTATTGGAAGTATTCGATCTTCAAAAGATGAAGAGATCTGAGGTTGACTCTCTATGTTCGTGTAGTCTGTTCTCTACAGTTCTTTGCTAAAGGTGTGTGTGCGTGTTTTGTTATGCTGGAAAGGCATGATAGAAAACATGAGCAATGAGCACTAGGTTGGGGATTTTAACTCTGTTCTTGTTCTTGTGGATGGTGAAAAAAAATCCCTATTTATTTTTTAGTAATAACTAGAGATTTGTAGTGTATGGGGATCCATCATTTTGGTTCTCTGTAGCGATCATATAGATACCTTTTAAGTCTTGTGTACAGTGAACTGTAAGCAAAGAAGTCACTCCTTTTTAAGATATGGTAATCCATTTTATACTGCAATTTCTGTTTAGTAGTTGTACAATTTATTGCTTTGACAAACTAAGAGGCATGAAAGGCATGAATAGTAATGATAAAGATAGGATGTTTTTCCAGATAAAAACATTTACCGATTGAAGATGCAGAAAAGGTGATGCTTGACTTGTTGTGATACTGAGGTTTTTTCAAGAGCTTCAAAGTGCTATTTTCCAAGAGGAGATACCATTCTCTGACTCTCAGACCCTTACATTCTTATCACATTGTTATCACAGTCAGCTGCTCCTATTAGTGTACAAATGATGAAATGGAAAATGGAGCAAGAATTGCATACCAAGTAGTATTTTTTTGTCAGAGAATATACTAAAAGAGAAGGAAATATGGAAACTCATAGTGTATTTCAAAATCTGGCTAAACAATATTAAAAAATAGTGACATACCATTGGAGAGTAACAGTAGATGATATAAATTGCCTTATGAACTTTCCTTTTTTGTTTGTTCCCCAAAGTTTGTTTATGTTCCCAAGGAAATATTATTCAGAATTTGATGCCTGCTTGTGTTAAATGCAGTGTAAATGTGATGGGTTTGTTAGAATTTTTACTGCAATCAAATCTTTTAATATACAGCCTAATAATTAGACCTATGGATTTTCACATTATTTCAGATTTTATTTTATTTTTTTCAAGAAATGAAACAAAGGAAAGTCAATGGGAAGTATTGTGGTAGTTGGTTTATTATATCCATCCAAACAACTAGATATTCCCCAGAGGAAATACTATTGTTATGTCAGAGTAATATATATAACACTCTATACTTATGGTTTCATGATCCTAGTTCTAGCTTTGATTTTTTTGAATGTTTAGTCCTGTTTCTATTAGAGAAACTATGTAACTATCTTTCCTTAAAAAGAAATGTAAGAATATTCGCTAAACTCTATGGGTTTACTAAAACAAATCCATGAAATAAACCTCTTTGTTCTCCCTGACATTCAAACAAATCTGGGAGAAGAGTCTTACTGCTGTGAGAACTAGATGATTTACAATGTAAAGATTTAGTAAGACTAAACATTTTCTCAGTTTGTTAAGGACAACTGTTTATATCTTGAACATATGTCTTAAATAAATGAATAGGGATGCAAACAAATAAAAGAAAACCCGGAACTTCTCTCCTAGCATCAGTGGACTTGGCTCCTTGAAATACATTGCTGCTTTCAAAGACTTTAGATCTCTTACTCTCTGCCTCTTAAGAGCAACATGATTGATGCCTTTCACCTTGTGAAGCAGGACAATGGAGGGCAGTTATGCTTATAGGTTTTATTTTGGAGAGGGAAATAAAAAAAGAAAAGGTTTAAATTTTTAGAAAACTTACTGGCTATTGAGAGGAATAGAGGCAAGTTATGAGTTGCTGCAGATTCCCCTTTGCATAAACCAGAGTGACAGTTCATTGGCATGTTATAGCCTGTCGACTGCTCCATTGGGAAGCTGCACCCGGAGCCATGCTGCCTACCCTGTGCTGTATCTATTGACTCCTTAGGCCACCAGGTATGTGCCTGTCACATAGACAGAGCAGGCACATGTTCCTCTCATGGAGCTCAGGTGAAGGAGCAGAAAAGTTTAAGCTAATCTTCATAATGCAGTGCTAAGTAACAGAGAGATTTAGTCAAACCAAGAAAAAAAGAAAGAAAAAGTAAGTAAAAAAATACGGCAAGCCACTGCCAAATGCACCACACTTTTCCTTATTTTATGTAATTCAGAAGGTATTAATACCTTGAGAGTATCTTACAAAGATACATGAAATCGTGGAATTTTTTATGTTCACCAACATAAACACTGAGCAGTAGTAGAGCATATTTTAGAAAATCATTTAAGTCTTCTTAACAGAAGATATAAATTTACTAAGTGGATAATGGATCCCATTAAACTCATTTAAGTTGTTTCATAGTCCAATTTGCAGTTAGAAGACATAATCTGAAGAGATGCCATAGTCATGGCAATAGATTGAATTTCTAAATTAAAGTGTATATGAGAAGCAGGTCCTATTCATAAGAAATTACTAGCAATTATTGCTAGCAACAGTTTCACATAAATGTACCGGACCATCTGATATACCTGTAAAAGCATTACTTCATGCTTGACAATTTTCAGTAATACCAAGCACCAGCATTTATGGTCAACCTTAGAAAAATATGTTGTTGCAGTAAATGGCATTGTTATTCATTCGCCATTATATCAACATTTATAGTTATTAAACTTAGAATTAACAAGATATTTGTCTAATAAGGAAAAGGGCTCTCAGGGGAAATAACATGTTATATGTCATGTTTAGTCAAGAAATACTGACTTTCTTATTTGCGTAGTTCAATACTTTATTTTGAATTATGATCCTATTGGCATGAGTAAGCATTTTACTAGTGTGCAGGACTGCATAATCTAACATCGTACAAATGTAAAACAGCTTTGAATTCTGTGAATAATAGCATATTGAGTAACTATAGCACAAAGAGCATCATTGTTTTATTAAGGTGATTGATAAATGATACAGAAAAATAATAACTGATCTGGAAAACTGCAGACTGTCATCAATTACCTTTGATGTATGAGAAGTTTGAGCATACTCAGTATTCACATAATACACAAATTTAATCTAGTGTAGAATATAATAAAATTTACTGTAATAGTATATATCAACATGCAACAAATCAAGTTGATAACTTTTTCTAAAGTTACCTTATTTGAAACTGTTTATCTTTACTTTCCAGCACCTTGTGGAAGCCGCTCAACAGGCTCTGAAGGCACTGTATTATCACCAAACTATCCAAAAAATTATAGTGTTGGTCACAACTGTGTTTATTCTATTACTGTTCCAAAGGAATTTGGTAAGTAGATCTAGTCTCATTCATATCCTTTTATTTTTTTTTTGCCTTCATATTTTCAACACTTTTGAATAAATTATATGATCATTTTATATTAAACATACTAATGTGAAAAAACTGCTTTAAACTGGTACTTCTATTTAATACTTCTGGTCAAACATTTTTGTTGACCAAACATCTGGTCAAACAGTGTTTATTCAATAGTTCCTATCTCAAAATCTCTAGGGCCAAAGTAATGGCCACATTTCTTAGTGATATCAGTTAGGGTGGTTCACTTAAGATCATGTGCCAAAACTCAAGAAGTGTAGCATAAATCAAGCAAATCCAGGCAAGCAGAGGAAGCAACATTTGTTTGGCTGGTCTGCAATAACATGGTGTTTTTGCTGCCTGTGGTGTCAGCTGATATTTTATTCCTCATTTTGACTCCTTTGTCAAAATTGTCCTTTGACATACTGAATATCATTTATTCTCTAAATATATGAGCTTTGGATTTATGCAGTCAATGCGTAAGACTTTATTCTAATTCACATTTACGGTTCCATTAACCTCATAAAAGATGCCTGAGGATGTGAATGGGTATTTTGTTTTTGTTTTGTTTTATTATGTTTTAGATAATCTAGGAAAGTTTAATCCCCATCATTTCCTTCAAAAGGGATGCTTATTTTACAACCAACAAGTTACAATACAAGAGTTACAACTACTGTAACAAAGAATTTGTTTAAAATGTTAATGCTCTGTACTTTGTATATTCTTTGCCATTCTGGATGGAAACATAATTTTGCTACCTCCTGAAATCATAAGATAAGTAACTAGAAACAGAAACATAATTCCCATAATAAAACATTTAAATAGAAAAACAAACTCCACACAGTTACCTAAATCCTTATATGCAGTGTTCGGCTTAGCTACTTGAAATAATTTGGCATATATTCATTTTCTTTCTATACTAAGTATACTAAGAACAATAATAAATTTGGTTCTTTCCCACTGCTGATCAGAAAAAAATGAAAAATGCTTTGAAGAATAGAAATCGTGACTTATAATCCTGTTAAACTGTCATGAAAGGAGTCAGTGAAGTTTACAGAGATGATTATGATAGTTTTTTGTCCCTCCTCTTTGCTCGTTTTCCTTGTTCTTTTTCTTATGCAAATTGTTTTTTTGATGACGACACCAAGAAGCTGTAGAATATACTATGGAAAAAATTAATCTGCCTTTGTGGATGATGCCAGGAGATACAATCACTACCCGTAGATTTGTCAGAGATCATGGCACAACAAATTCTAAATCAAAGAATCAAGATAGATTTTTTGGGAGAATGAAACGGTACTCTAGAGAAGTTACTGACATAATATATTTTTAATTAATTCTCCTAGAGACCTAGAAAAAGCAGGAAAAAAAATGTGGTTCTTCTTATGTAAACTTCCTTGTGTTGTTGACTTTAGATATGAAATGCAACACTAAAATATTTGTTGAGCAGAATCTCTTCAAGAACTACTTTTACGTGCCGAATAGTATATGATACCATAAAATTGAGCAAAAAAAAAAAAGAGTTTAAAAAAGCTAAATCAGTGTTAATATAGAGACAAAAACATTGGACTAGCATATTAACCACATATGAGGGAACTCACTGCTCTGAACTAGTTCTTGGTGTCCAGATGTGTCTTCAAATCCAAATTTTCAAGTATTCACACCTCAAATTCTCAATCAAAAATCAATGCAGAGTAGATTTTATTTCCATGTTTTATTATTCTGCCATGTGGAATCACAGTTGCAGTATTTCATATCATGACAGGTTTAAGTTGGAAGATAAATGATTCACAAAAGCACACACTATGCCACAGGCAAAGTCTTTTGTAAACATGGAAGCCTTATCTTCCTTGACACTCTCCCACTGATATTTTAAAGTGGTGTAATGGGCATTACTTGCCTAGTGCTGAAATGCAGGACTGATTACAATTTAAAAGGGATATTTAAGCTTTCTTTGTTTCCCTGATGCACATGAATTAATTTATATGCTCTATTATGCTCAATAATGTAATTTATTTTAAAACTAATTTTATTAGTAGCAAAATAAATAACCTCATCTTGCCTCAGCAAGTGGCTTTTCTTTCTGTTACAGAAAAGAATATATATTAAACATACAATGTTGACCCTTTCTCTTTTTCATATGCTATTTATATTTTGACAATGACAAGTACCTGTAGAATATACCATGAAAGTATGTAGTAGGTATGAGGTGCCATAAGATAAATATGGCATCATACTATCAGAAAATTAGTATTCAGTGTGATATATTTCACTTTGTGGCCACTTAGAAATGAATATTTTATTTGTTTAATTAGTATTATAAAACATTTTAAAAAGAATTGTCTTTTTTTACCTGCCTCCCTACAAAGAAGTTAGGAGTATGTGCATATAATATTACAAGGTTTGACTTCTATGGAGAATGTGCATTTGTTTCTCATTTGCAGCAAAATACGCTAAATTTAGCAACATTCTGCTGAATGGGAAGAAGAGGTCATCCTTACTGCATCAAATACGCTGCCACAGACAGGAATCTTATTCTGTTTCTTACTCTTTCAAAGTCAGTGGAACCGTTGATAGGAATGTATTGTTCAAACCACAATTCCTTGTCAATGAAATCTTGGCACCACAGAGACTTCTCCAAAATTATAAAGCTATATTTTAAAAACATAAATCTCTTACATTTTTGCATATATGATTACAGAAATTTATCATAAAGACAGAAAAGATTACTGTATTACAGGACACAGCATATAAACACTAAAAATAGTAGAAATACAAGATGAATCATTTAATACAAAAATGTAAGGAAAGTCAATTTAGTTGAACATGATGGCTGGTTAGATGAAAAGGATGATATTTCAGTTTTCTGATTTATTTACTCATTTTTTTCAACTATCTAGCAATGTTGAGGGTATTCATACAAACAATTCCTATTAACAGTAGTAAGAAGTACTTGCTGCAAGGATAAAATCATTAAATGGTAGACATTTGAGCCCCATTTTCCTTTTTTTTTCCCCTCATTATTCTTTAAAATCTAATTTCCTATTGCTTTCTCTTTTTTAAGGCTATTCTGTTAGCGTGAGGTTTTCAAAGTGTCTTCTAATAGAATCCAAAATAATACACTGATGTTTAATAAATCCTTAAATGCATTCATTCCAAAATGCACATGCATCGTACTAGAAACAAATATTCTCGCTTCCTTGCCTCCCCCCCCAAAAAAAGAAAATGGGATGTTCTTTGTATGCATTCATTGCGCATTGAATAGTAACTGAATATACTTTTTTTTTGAATTGTTTAGATTAAACATATAAATAAACATATTTGTTTGATATTGACAATGTATTTTTAAGCCGTGGTTATTGCTCCCTTTATTTATGGCTATACAGTAAGGAGCTCAAAAAAAAAAAAAAAAAAGAAAAGTTAGTGGGGGGAAAGGAGGACAATGCAGCTCACTATATTATTAGTGTTTTAGCAAAGAAAAGGAAAGAACACCCAGATGATGAGCCAGAAACTAGAAAATTGAAAAATGTGTCTTCTGATGGACATAATACCCTCAGTGGAAAACTCGTCACCCATAACTGTGAGATTTAGAACCTTAAGAGTAAATGCAGTGATGTGAGTAAATGCAGTGATGTGACTTGTGTTACGAATCTGTGTAATCTAAGTAGGGATAGTCGGAATTCATGAGTGATATCTCATGAATATTGTTGCCCTTAAGTATTGCTGATGTATGTGCATACATACTTTTCACTTGCAGGCAAATCAAATATGTGTATTTAGACATAAATTAACCCTTGGGGTGTGATTGTTTGAATTTCAACTTAGATATCCTAGTCCAGCGTAGTGCCACAAAGATGATTAAAGGACCACAGCATCTATCGTATCAGGAAAGACTAAGCGAGATAGGCCTGTTTAGTCTGGAGAAGAGAAGTTTGAAAGAGGCTGGTTGATTAACATGTTGAACGTAGGGAGCACCCACCTGGATGCGACCCTGTGCCACATGCTCTAGGTGTTCCTGCTTGAGCAGAAGGGTTGGACTAAATGATCTCTAGAGGTCCCTTCCAACCTTAACCATTCTGTGATTCTGTGATCTAACTGTGAGAGTTAGGAGTCTAGTCTAAGTTACTCAAATGCTTGCTATAATGCAAAAGGAGAAATACGTATTTCCCTATCATGATTCATTCCATCTAAAGCATCTCTCTCTGCAGTTTTTGGAAGGAGATAAACTGCTTGTAATAAAAGGAAGAGCACGGACTCATTTTATCATATTTGTTCTGGCAACTATACATGGTTAAATGAATTAGAGAACATTTCTGCCTCTGAAATCTACATTAATCCAATATTCAGTTTTTATACACATAGCTTCATGCTTTTATCTTCCAGTAAAGATAGTGATTTCAGACATATTGAAGCTTCCATCCATTCATATAGGTGCTTGAATTTGGATGATTCAAATTCAAGATTTACATGGTGATTCTTCATCTTCAATCTAGCATGGGGACTAAATAAAATCTATGTGTTATTATTAGGCATATGTTAGACAATCAGAAGATTGTTAGGTGATGGACTCCATCCAGATGCTCTACAGATGTTAAGGATGCCATGAACTACAGCCAGTTTGCACAGGGAATATGTAACTGATTTACATTGTTTTCTGGAAAAAAAAAAACAAAAAAGTAAATAAAAAGAAGATAAAGACAGTATTGATTATATTTTGGAATTTTTTATGTTGCTGGTTTTTATCAAGTTTCTTTTCTAAAACATGCAACTAATGGACAATGAAGTGCTACGTAAGATATAAATATTTTTCTATACATTGAATTAAAATGAAAGAATTTTAAATTTAGCATTAAGAAAATTAACTCCAAATTGGTATATGCCATTCTTTTATTCAAAAAACAATTCTAATTTGAGACCAAGTTTATGTCATTCAGATGCTGCCTGTATATTTTAAAGAGATACTACAAGATCATTAC